ATGAGTGGCTGACATATTTATAACTGATGTTGGATTCAAATGTTTTTGCAAGGGCGTTGTTCTAGCACCGCAATCGTTGTGCAGCCTGTGTTTAAATTTTGTCTGAACAAAGTATTTCATGTGTGTTGTATATGTTGCATGCAACCAATATTGTGTATGGTATGCCACTATGACTAGTGCTTTCAGAAAGTAAATTACTTTGGGATTCACTGAAAAGCTGCAACAAAATATTGCACTTGAACTTGCAAAGTTCTTGATCGTAATTCTCTACATTTCATCTGCTTCACATGCTGAAAACATTGTATAGTTATGTCAGTTCTATCTATATAAAGTAATTTGACCCAGTCTTGAACATCAGCTCAATCAAGTACCATGCTCATTTTAAACAATTTGTACAATAGGAGGAAAATCAAGAGGGTAAGGAGAATGATGATGGAGAACAATCTGTCAGCAAAGAAAGAAGACTTGTCAGTCCAAAATTTGAATCATCACTGTCAAAGCATGAAGAGCTCCCAAAGGTCAACATATACTCATAATTTGTTATGTAATATACTCAGTATTTTATTCTTGTCTTCCATCTATTAACAACTATAACTAAAACAGGTTATTATTCAGATTATCTGGGCACTTGGGTAGGATTTCTCGCTCTCTCGTAAATTATGGCATTGGTCGTTTTAGTTTATGTTCTGGTATTAAGCCATAGTTGTGGAGTCATGGTATGATATCATGCATTATGAAGTGGTGATCTTTATTGAATAATTAATTCTTAGAAATTGACTAGAGCCAGCAGTGAGAGAAGAAAAGAACCAACTCGCAACATTCCAGAAGAATTATCAAACAAACGGTAAGCTCAAACATTTAGATTTGCTGCATACATATGACCCTCTCATATTAGCTCAAATAAACCACATCTGTCAAGTCTAATTAATATCTGAGACCAATTGACATGACAGATATATCTGAGACCAATTGACATGACAGATATATCTGAGACCAATTGACATGACAGATATATCTGAGACCAATTGATATGACATATATATCTGAGACCAATTGATATGACATATATATCTCAGACCAATTGATATGACAGATATATCTGAGACCAATTGATATGACATATATATCTGACACCAATTGATATGACAGATATATCTCAGACCAATTGATATGACAGATATATCTGAGACCAATTGATATGACAGATATATCTGAGACCAATTGATATGACATATATATCTGACACCAATTGATATGACAGATATATCTCAGACCAATTGATATGACAGATATATCTGAGACCAATTGATATGACAGATATATCTCAGACCAATTGATATGACAGATACATCTGAGACCAATTGATATGACAGATATGTCTGAGACCAATTGATATGACAGATTATTCTGAGACCAATTGATATGACAGATTATTCTGAGACCAATTGATATGACAGATATATCTGACACCAATTGATATGACA